GTTCACCAACTTACTGTACAACGACAAGAGAAAACAAGAAATGACAGACAGGGGGCGCCCTCTCTGCAGGTGACACAAACGTATCCATTCCTGTGGCCTCGGCAACATGACTGACACGTTTCCTAAAGCTTCCTGCGCGCTCCACTTCTGCACCACTGCACCACCGCTCCTCCGCTCACTTGTTTCCACCACATTACTCACCTGAATGCTAAGCTGTCACCGCCACCGCTGCTTCTGTTGACACAGCATTTCAAAGAGCAACATGTGAGGCCTGACATTAGGAGCATCCACCTGTACAGTCTGTCGTTAGCGCCTCCTCCCAGGGACTAAGACACGACATCACTGCCTAACACCGGCACAGCTACGCCGCTCCTCCAGCAGAACTTCACAGGAGGAAACAAAACACCCGCTCGGGTCGTAGTCCATCCAGGATGATGGGAGATCTTGTACCGGCTCCAAATTAATCAGCCAACACCAGGTGTAACAGACTGTTTCCTGTTTGGGTGTTGACACCAACCAGGGACAGAGTGGACCAAGGAGCAGACCTGGGCTCTGACCCAGCTTATTCTAATCAGTCCAGGGAAACGCAGACGCCCCAGGACTGATGGGAAATATCCTCCATTTTATCTCATCATATTATCTGTTGGATCGACTCAGCACTGACGCTGATTAAACGTTCACAGCCCGGCGGTTTTCTTCAACTACGGCACAGGACGTAGGACAAAACACAGACGTCTGTCCTGGGAGGACGGCACCATGTCCATGAAAAAAACTGTGTTTATACAAGATGACGTAAACAGTCACCTAAACATGGAGGTCTCTAAAAAAAATAATCAGTTAGTTAAAATTAGTCACCTAAACATGGAGGTCTCTAAAACATATAATCAGTTAGTTAAAATTAATGAATCAATCATTAAAATCATCTCTATCACCAAACAACGATGACTTCAATGGTAACCATAGTTACACACAGGAAGTGAGCAGTCAGTGTCTGTGGTTGAGGCGAGCTAACGCCCTGTCTGTGCTGACGTCCTGTCTGTGCTGACGGCCTGTCTGTGCTGACGGCCTGTCTGTGCTGACGGCGGTCGACTTCCTCACAGAGAAGTGTAACATTGTTGATTTTTCTTCAAACTTTTCACCTTATGCTTTGACTCCGTTCTGCTGCTGCTGTTTCTCACTGACAGACTGATCTGTTGATGGTAAATTTCTCTCTGCCAACCAGCAAATAATTGATGACTCCACCTCCTAACTCAGAAACTCAGGCGACTCCTCTAGCTTTTATTTTATTATTTTTCCAGCTTCAAAACTGAAGGTTTTTAAAAAAGTGAGGTTATTAATTTTTCACATCCCTCAGCTCCACAAATAATGGACGGCATGAATTTTACAGTTCGCTTTTGTTCTTATGTTTGACAAACTAACTTCACAGCAGAGTCCCCGGGGGGGACCAGGAGGGCGCGACCTCTGTGCCTGACCCTGTGTGTGGACTGACACTCTGGTTAGAGGAGGTGATAAATGGAGATCATCAAGTTGAACTGGAGCTGATCCAAGTTCTTATCAGCCGTGTGTCGCTCACACTGGTAACGAGAACACACACACAGACACACGCACAGTTCATCCAGCTGGAGGCCATAACATTATCATAGCAGCTCCACCATATTGAGCTGACAGTCAACCCGCTGCATTGTTTAAGCATTCGCTAATGGACGACTGACGTCCGCCGAGACGTTGGAGTCAGAGCTGGATTCGCGGCGACGGTTAATTAGACAGAGTCGTCAGTAAATCTTCCAAGTATGCTTATTAGGGAGGGTTGAAAGTGTTACCGTAGAAAAATGTTGTTTGGACTTCCTTTGTCAGAGGCGTGCAGGTGTACTGTGGGTAATTACAGTCGGCATGTTTGCTAGTAATTAAGGAGGCCCACGGAGTCAGCACCCAGGCTCGCTGAGCCCTCTGAAACAGAGGCTCTCTTAATTGAATTAGAGAACACACACACACACACACACTCTCTCTCTCTCTCTCTCTCTCTCTCT